ATATTTTTCGTTGCGTTAGAGAGTGAAACAGGTCAAGCTGTAGAGTCCGGCGCGCGCTCGAGCCGCGATTCGATCGTCCAAGATCAGGCAAAAATTAAATATAAAAAGAACTACTCGCTTCAGAAGAGTCTCTTTTTCTGTGCTCTTAGCGCACACGTTTTTTGAGCGGCACACAAAATTAGAGAATCTGCATCTGCGTTTATTATTACCTTTGTTAAACTTAGATCGACCATCCACCCAGAGCGCCCGAAAACTTGTTTTGCCTTCCAAGTAAGTGGTCAGATCGAAATATGAAGAAGAATAACTCCGTTTAAATTCAAATAATTTTTACACCTATTAGAGAAGTTCATTAGCTTTCGGAAAATATATACTTCGCTATGCGTAAAAATATTTTTCGTTGCGTTAGAGAGTGAAACAGGTCAAGCTGTAGAGTCCGGCGCGCGCTCGAGCCGCGATTCGATCGTCCAAGATCAGGCAAAAATTAAATATAAAAAGAACTACTCGCTTCAGAAGAGTCTCTTTTTCTGTGCTCTTAGCGCACACGTTTTTTGAGCGGCACACAAAATTAAGAATCTGCATCTGCGTTTATTATTACCTTTGTTAAACTTAGATCGACCATCCACCCAGAGCGCCCGAAAACTTGTTTTGCCTTCCAAGTAAGTGGTCAGATCGAAATATGAAGAAGAATAACTCCGTTTAAATTCAAATAATTTTTACACCTATTAGAGAAGTTCATTAGCTTTCGGAAAATATATACTTCGCTATGCGTAAAAATATTTTTCGTTGCGTTAGAGAGTGAAACAGGTCAAGCTGTAGAGTCCGGCGCGCGCTCGAGCCGCGATTCGATCGTCCAAGATCAGGCAAAAATTAAATATAAAAAGAACTACTCGCTTCAGAAGAGTCTCTTTTTCTGTGCTCTTAGCGCACACGTTTTTTGAGCGGCACACAAAATTAAGAATCTGCATCTGCGTTTATTATTACCTTTGTTAAACTTAGATCGACCATTCACCCAGAGCGCCCGAAAACTTGTTTTGCCTTCCAAGTAAGTGGTCAGATCGAAATATGAAGAAGAATAACTCCGTTTAAATTCAAATAATTTTTACACCTATTAGAGAAGTTCATTAGCTTTCGGAAAATATATACTTCGCTATGCGTAAAAATATTTTTCGTTGCGTTAGAGAGTGAAACAGGTCAAGCTGTAGAGTCCGGCGCGCGCTCGAGCCGCGATTCGATCGTCCAAGATCAGGCAAAAATTAAATATAAAAAGAACTACTCGCTTCAGAAGAGTCTCTTTTTCTGTGCTCTTAGCGCACACGTTTTTTGAGCGGCACACAAAATTAGAGAATCTGCATCTGCGTTTATTATTACCTTTGTTAAACTTAGATCGACCATCCACCCAGAGCGCCCGAAAACTTGTTATGCCTTCCAAGTAAGTGGTCAGATCGAAATATGAAGAAGAATAACTCCGTTTAAATTCAAATAATTTTTACACCTATTAGAGAAGTTCATTAGCTTTCGGAAAATATATACTTCGCTATGCGTAAAAATATTTTTCGTTGCGTTAGAGAGTGAAACAGGTCAAGCTGTAGAGTCCGGCGCGCGCTCGAGCCGCGATTCGATCGTCCAAGATCAGGCAAAAATTAAATATAAAAAGAACTACTCGCTTCAGAAGAGTCTCTTTTTCTGTGCTCTTAGCGCACACGTTTTTTGAGCGGCACACAAAATTAAGAATCTGCATCTGCGTTTATTATTACCTTTGTTAAACTTAGATCGACCATCCACCCAGAGCGCCCGAAAACTTGTTTTGCCTTCCAAGTAAGTGGTCAGATCGAAATATGAAGAAGAATAACTCCGTTTAAATTCAAATAATTTTTACACCTATTAGAGAAGTTCATTAGCTTTCGGAAAATATATACTTCGCTATGCGTAAAAATATTTTTCGTTGCGTTAGAGAGTGAAACAGGTCAAGCTGTAGAGTCCGGCGCGCGCTCGAGCCGCGATTCGATCGTCCAAGATCAGGCAAAAATTAAATATAAAAAGAACTACTCGCTTCAGAAGAGTCTCTTTTTCTGTGCTCTTAGCGCACACGTTTTTTGAGCGGCACACAAAATTAAGAATCTGCATCTGCGTTTATTATTACCTTTGTTAAACTTAGATCGACCATCCACCCAGAGCGCCCGAAAACTTGTTTTGCCTTCCAAGTAAGTGGTCAGATCGAAATATGAAGAAGAATAACTACGTTTAAATTCAAATAATTTTTACACCTATTAGAGAAGTTCATTAGCTTTCGGAAAATATATACTTCGCCATGCGTAAAAATATTTTTCGTTGCGTTAGAGAGTGAAACAGGTCAAGCTGTAGAGTCCGGCGCGCGCTCGAGCCGCGATTCGATCGTCCAAGATCAGGCAAAAATTAAATATAAAAAGAACTACTCGCTTCAGAAGAGTCTCTTTTTCTGTGCTCTTAGCGCACACGTTTTTTGAGCGGCACACAAAATTAAGAATCTGCATCTGCGTTTATTATTACCTTTGTTAAACTTAGATCGACCATTCACCCAGAGCGCCCGAAAACTTGTTTTGCCTTCCAAGTAAGTGGTCAGATCGAAATATGAAGAAGAATAACTCCGTTTAAATTCAAATAATTTTTACACCTATTAGAGAAGTTCATTAGCTTTCGGAAAATATATACTTCGCTATGCGTAAAAATATTTTTCGTTGCGTTAGAGAGTGAAACAGGTCAAGCTGTAGAGTCCGGCGCGCGCTCGAGCCGCGATTCGATCGTCCAAGATCAGGCAAAAATTAAATATAAAAAGAACTACTCGCTTCAGAAGAGTCTCTTTTTCTGTGCTCTTAGCGCACACGTTTTTTGAGCGGCACACAAAATTAGAGAATCTGCATCTGCGTTTATTATTACCTTTGTTAAACTTAGATCGACCATCCACCCAGAGCGCCCGAAAACTTGTTTTGCCTTCCAAGTAAGTGGTCAGATCGAAATATGAAGAAGAATAACTCCGTTTAAATTCAAATAATTTTTACACCTATTAGAGAAGTTCATTAGCTTTCGGAAAATATATACTTCGCTATGCGTAAAAATATTTTTCGTTGCGTTAGAGAGTGAAACAGGTCAAGCTGTAGAGTCCGGCGCGCGCTCGAGCCGCGATTCGATCGTCCAAGATCAGGCAAAAATTAAATATAAAAAGAACTACTCGCTTCAGAAGAGTCTCTTTTTCTGTGCTCTTAGCGCACACGTTTTTTGAGCGGCACACAAAATTAAGAATCTGCATCTGCGTTTATTATTACCTTTGTTAAACTTAGATCGACCATCCACCCAGAGCGCCCGAAAACTTGTTTTGCCTTCCAAGTAAGTGGTCAGATCGAAATATGAAGAAGAATAACTCCGTTTAAATTCAAATAATTTTTACACCTATTAGAGAAGTTCATTAGCTTTCGGAAAATATATACTTCGCTATGCGTAAAAATATTTTTCGTTGCGTTAGAGAGTGAAACAGGTCAAGCTGTAGAGTCCGGCGCGCGCTCGAGCCGCGATTCGATCGTCCAAGATCAGGCAAAAATTAAATATAAAAAGAACTACTCGCTTCAGAAGAGTCTCTTTTTCTGTGCTCTTAGCGCACACGTTTTTTGAGCGGCACACAAAATTAAGAATCTGCATCTGCGTTTATTATTACCTTTGTTAAACTTAGATCGACCATCCACCCAGAGCGCCCGAAAACTTGTTTTGCCTTCCAAGTAAGTGGTCAGATCGAAATATGAAGAAGAATAACTCCGTTTAAATTCAAATAATTTTTACACCTATTAGAGAAGTTCATTAGCTTTCGGAAAATATATACTTCGCTATGCGTAAAAATATTTTTCGTTGCGTTAGAGAGTGAAACAGGTCAAGCTGTAGAGTCCGGCGCGCGCTCGAGCCGCGATTCGATCGTCCAAGATCAGGCAAAAATTAAATATAAAAAGAACTACTCGCTTCAGAAGAGTCTCTTTTTCTGTGCTCTTAGCGCACACGTTTTTTGAGCGGCACACAAAATTAAGAATCTGCATCTGCGTTTATTATTACCTTTGTTAAACTTAGATCGACCATCCACCCAGAGCGCCCGAAAACTTGTTTTGCCTTCCAAGTAAGTGGTCAGATCGAAATATGAAGAAGAATAACTCCGTTTAAATTCAAATAATTTTTACACCTATTAGAGAAGTTCATTAGCTTTCGGAAAATACATACTTCGCTATGCGTAAAAATATTTTTCGTTGCGTTAGAGAGTGAAACAGGTCAAGCTGTAGAGTCCGGCGCGCGCTCGAGCCGCGATTCGATCGTCCAAGATCAGGCAAAAATTAAATATAAAAAGAACTACTCGCTTCAGAAGAGTCTCTTTTTCTGTGCTCTTAGCGCACACGTTTTTTGAGCGGCACACAAAATTAAGAATCTGCATCTGCGTTTATTATTACCTTTGTTAAACTTAGATCGACCATCCACCCAGAGCGCCCGAAAACTTGTTTTGCCTTCCAAGTAAGTGGTTAGATCAAAATATGAAGAAGAATAACTCCGTTTAAATTCAAATAATTTTTACACCTATTAGAGAAGTTCATTAGCTTTCAGAAAATATAAGAACTGGTACAAAAGGACACAACCCTCCAAGAGTGCAGAAAAAAAAAAAAAGAAAAATGCCATCAGCACTCCGTGTTCCCAGGTGGTCACCCTCCCAAGTACTGACGGAGCCCGATGCTGCTTAGCTTCGGTGATCGGACGAGAACCGGCGTATTCAGCATGGTATGGCCGATGGCAGGTACTAGGGCAACGAATGTTCGACTGCTGCCTGAGAAGATTGGTACACTCGGCTGTGGCGCACAAAATGGTAGAGACCCGCGGCAAAACAACACTCATGACAAAAGAGGAATCACTCACCCAAAGCAGTGCTTGTTTTCAGGATTACAGAGAGACACGGGAGGGAGGCGTTGGAATGAAAACCCGTTTCCAAGATAGATCGGTACTGGTTTGGCCCTGAAAAGGGCCGTTTTCGATGTGTGTCCGACGGCGAGACGGCTGTTAACCACCGAAACCATAGAGGGTACGGCCTTGCCTCTTGAGCGCGTACACCACATCCATGGCCGTCACGGTCTTCCTCTTGGCGTGCTCGGTGTAGGTGACGGCATCGCGAATGACGTTCTCCAGGAAGACCTTGAGGACGCCGCGGGTCTCTTCATAGATGAGGCCGGAAATGCGCTTGACACCACCGCGGCGGGCTAGGCGACGGATTGCAGGCTTGGTGATCCCCTGGATGTTATCGCGAAGAACCTTGCGATGGCGCTTGGCACCACCCTTGCCCAGGCCCTTGCCGCCCTTGCCTCTTCCAGACATGTTTGCTGCAAAAACAGGGACGGAAAACACGACCGCACCGTTCGCCTACTTCAACAAAGACTGGCGGCAATGCTCTACGGGTCCGACCAAGTGAACCCACGACGGCCTCCTCCTCTCCCGCCGACGAATGGGAGCAGTCCTGCAGCTTCGTATTGTGGCCGACAGGTGGCTGCGCACTGGAAGCAAGCGTGTGTTGATGAAATGCATGGCTTTAGCAAAGGCATTCATACACCTCGCCCATTTTGAGTCTTCATAGTTGTATGTGCAAAACATTGTTTTTTCTAGGTTCCAGGAGATATATATTTTAGCGGGATTAAGATTCGTTTTCGCTAAGTCAATGGGAGAAACATGTCAACTCAGGAGTGCCGAGCTTCGCACCGATGCAGCTAGTCAAGGGCCCGTTTTCACATGCGAATAAGAAAGAGTTTTATAAACGTTCGAGCAATCTATTCATCGGAACTTGTACAAGACACACTCTTCTCACGGCACACAAAAATTAAAGTTTCTTATCACTGGCGTTTTTAAGCGCGCAGTGCAATTCACCGCCATGGTGAGCCGGGTCGACAGCAAGTTGGGTCACCCAAGAACACAGTTTGATCAAAATATTGACTGATATAAAAGGGTCCGGTTTTAAGTGCTTATTACACGGGACGAAAAGTCTTTTTGGCTGGCAGAAAATTTGATACTGAAAAACTTTTTACCAAGCCTTCGGTCTGTTAAGAAGCAAAACCTGCCACCCGAAAGCGGCCAGTTCGTGCCGCTGCCGCGAATCGCGCAAATGAAGTAAAGTAATAAAACAATTTCGTCTAAATTCAAATGCTTTTTACACCTACCGAAGAATTTCATTAGCTTTCAGAAAATATACACTTCGGTAAGCGTAAAGATATTTTTCGTTGCGTTAGAGAGCGAAACAGGCGAAGCCGTAGGGCCGGCTTCGCGCTCGGGCCGGAATTCGATCGTCCAAGATCAGGCAAAAATTAAAAATAAAAAAAAAACTACTCGCTTTAGAAGAGTCTCTTTTTCTGTGCTCTTAGCGCACACCTTTTTTTAGCGGCACACGAAATTAAGAATCTGTAGCTACGTTTTTTATTACCTTTTTTAAGCTTAAATCGACCAGCCGCCCTTAGCGCCCGAAAACTAGTTTCGGCTTCCAAGTAAGCGGTTAGATCGAAATATGAAGAAGAATAACTCCGTTTCAATTCAAATGCTTTTTACACCTATTGAAGAAGTTTATTAGCTTTCAAAAAATATATACTTCGATATGCGTAAAAATATTTTTCGTTGCGTTAGAGAGTGAAACAGGTGAAGCTGTAGAGTCCGGCGCGCGCTCGAGCCGCGATTCGATCGTCTAAGATCAGGCAAAAATTAGAAATAAAAAGAACTACTCGCTTTAGAAAAGTCTCTTTTTCTGTGCTTTTAGCGCACACTTTTCTCTAGCGGCACACAAAATTAAGAGTCTTTATCTACCTTTTTTTAAACTTAAATCGACCAGCCACCCAGAGCGCCCGAAAACTAGATTTGGCTTCCAAGTAAGTGGTTAGATCAATATATGAACAAAAATAACTCTGTTTAAAATCAAACGCTTTCTACACCTATTGGAGAAGTTCATTAGCTTTCGGAAAATATATATTTCGATATGCGTAAAAATATTTTTCGTTGCGTTAGAGAGGGAAACATGTGAAGCTGTAGAGTCCGGCGCGCGCTCGTGCCGCGATTCGATCGTCTAAGATCAGGCAAAAATAAAAATAAAAGTACTCGCCTTGAAAGAGTTTCTCTTTTTTGTGCTGTTAGTACACACTTTTCTTTCGCGGCACACGAGATTAAAAGCCTGTATCTACGTTTATCATTGCATTTTTTAAACTTAAAATAAGAACACTCGAATTTAAAAGCAAGTTATTTGATACAACCGTTGCTCTAAAAAGAAAAACGCTGCAACTCGAAAACACAACACTTTGGAGTATGGGCTCCCAACGGCTAAAAACCACGCGAATATATCCTTTACATACGCGAGCGATGTGCAATATTTAGGAAGGTCACTCGTGCCCTCAAAAGCAATGAAATACAATGTTTTTTTTTCACCGAAACAAAATAAACGACATCCGACTGTGGCTACAAGAAGCCAAGTTCGACTGCACAACAAGAAAAAAGACATACTCTTTGCAAACATGCGCGATGCAGAAGCACTGGGTACTCACATATTTCTTGAAAAGAGAGACACGGGAGTTGGAAGTCATCGAGAGACGGCCGTTTTGCAGGGATGAGTATGGCCCTCAAAAGGGCCGTTTGTACATACAGCAGGGAGATAGCTCCTGGGTGTTACTTGGAACTGGTGTACTTGGTGACAGCCTTGGTGCCCTCGGACACCGCATGCTTTGCCAGTTCACCCGGCAGCAGGAGCCTCACAGCTGTCTGGATCTCCCGACTCGTGATGGTCGAGCGCATGTTGTAGTGAGCCAGCCGAGACGACTCTGCTGCGATGCGCTCGAAGATGTCGTTCACGAAGCTGTTCATGATCGACATGGCCTTGCTGGACACTCCGGTGTCGGGATGGACCTGTTTGAGCACCTTGTAGATGTAGATGCTGAAGCTCTCCTTCCTCTTGCGCCTCTTCTTCTTCTTGTCGGTGGCACGCACATTTTTCTGTGCCTTGCCCGCCTTCTTCACTGCTTTTCCGCTCGGTTGGGGGGGCATCCTCGCGCGACTTGTCTTCGGGAGAAGATCGACGTTGTTACTCGCAAAAAGATGGCGAAACAACAACTGGGGCAACCTGAAATTTTGAGAGAGAGAGAGAGAGAGAGAAGTCTTGCAAAAGAGGAAAAACCATCGTTGGAGTTACAGCCATGGGCCGAACGGTCATCGTTGGATTGGGGGAAGGGAAGGGGATAAAAGCTGATAGAAGAAAAAATTGTGAAAAAAGAGAGAGGGAGGTTGTTTCGCCAAAGCCGACAAGCGGGGCGCGAGGAGCCACAGAAAGTGGCTGGCAGAAAAGGGGGCGGAGCCGAGGAAGGAAGGAGATCCTTTAAATGTCCGAGTGTCTTGTCCAGAAGCCTGTAGCACATCTTCACAGAGTCCAGGGTGAACGAATCGGGTTCGGCACGCGGTGTCCGAATTTCCAAGCACTGTCACCAGTCACACCAACACCAAGTCTCCCAGTATTCCGAGCCAAAGTGCAATGGGTCGGCGAGCATCTCTCTGCTGCATGTATACACAACACGGCGTTGCGAAAGGCTTGGGGGGAACATTAATAGATTCCGTTCCCTCAACAGGGGCGGTCGAGCCTATTGTATGCATAAGGGACATTCCGCAGAGTGCTACGGAATGACATTCTTTGCCTGTGTTTGGCTGAGTGACCCACGCGATTTAACGCGTGGTTCACCAAACGCAAAGGTAGAAATTACTTGTATGGCATTTTCTGAAAATGCCTGACCCTTGGCATGCCTAGGGTTTACTAGCTTCCGAATCTATCATTCGAAAACTTTTCACGGCTGGGCGAGGTTAGTTCCTGCCCATTAAAAGGAAAAAAAAGAATTCCGAATTTGTTATTCGAAAACCGGACTCAGTAAGGTTATTCCTTGCCCGCGAGAGAAGAATCAACATAAATAAGAAAAATGGCACGGCGCCAGAGCGGGACAGCGCGCGGGGAGACTGTTTTGCCAAAGCAAAAGGGGCCCCGCGCGAGGGGCAGACCTGGCGAGAATAAAGAATAGAAAAGCAAAACGCGGGAGGGAAGCTATCAGTTAGGATTTGCACAAAAGGAAAGAAGAGTTCAAAAAATAAAAGCTAAAAGCAGACAAAGAACGCGAGAGAGAGGCTGTCAATCAAGTCGTGCGCGAAGGACGCACCCGACAAGAAGCGAAGCCAGAGAAAGAAAAGTTAACCAATACAGTCTAAAAGTGTTAAGTGGGTCAGGGGGCCCACGCAAGGGGTGGCCCAGCGCGCGCGTTCCAAGAGGAGCTATCAGTTAGAACTTGTACAAAGAGTCCTCCCCGCTGAAGGCAGGAAAGAAAAATAAAACTAAAAGCCAAAAAGCAGACGGAAAACGCGAGAGAGAGGCTGTCAAACAAGTCCGGCGCCAAGAACGTACCGGTCGAGAAGCAAAGCCAAAGAAGAAAAGAAAACCAATACAGTCTAAGAGTGTTAAGTGGGTCAGGGGGCCCACGCGAGGGGTGGCCCAGCGCGCGCGTTCCAAGAGGAGCTATCAGTTAGAACTTGTACAAAGAGTCCTCCCCGCTGAAGGCAGGAAAGAAAAATAAAACTAAAAGCCAAGAAGCAGACGGAAAACGCGAGAGAGAGGCTGTCAAAACAAGTCCGGCGCCAAGAACGTACCCGGCAAGAAGCGAAGCCAAAGAAAGGAAGATAAACAATACACTCCAAAAGAGTTAAGTGGTTCAGGGGGCCCTCGCAAAGGGTGGGCCTGCGCGCGCCTTCTAAGTGGAAGGCAGTTAAGTAAACAGAAAGAAAAGAGAAGCTGAGTCTAAAAAGGAGGCTACAAGAAAGGAGAGAGAAAAAATAACAGCCGGGGGTGCAGCGCGAGGGAGAACCAGGGCGAATAAAGTAAAGAGAAGAAAAACGCGAGAGAGGAGCTGTCAATCAGCTCGGCAGCAAGGAGGAGAGATTACGGGAGAGGAGGACGCGACGCCCTGCAGGCCCTGCCTGGATAGCGATCGCGTCCCCCTCCGCCACGCGACCGGCGGAGAAACCGAGTTTCCCCGAAGGAGGGAAAGGAGGAGCGTTTTCGGCGGGCGGGCAGCAGCGCCAGGCCGGGCCTTCCTAGTGGGGTGAGCTTTCCCCGAAGCTCTGCGGCTGTCGTCTGCTACAGATCCTTTGTCTCTTGCGCGACCGTTGCAGCCTAGATCTCGCCGGCCAGCCCCGTCTCGACGAGGAATCCTGCGAGCGCTGTTAGGGCACTTTGCGCCGCCTTACCTTGCGGTCTGATTAGAGTTTCAAAGCTGTTCGTGCTACATCCAAGAGTGATGTAGCGACGAAACAATCGCTCACGTTCCTCGCCGAAGTCCGGGCACTCGCGGAGGAGATGATCGGCGTCCGCGACGGCCGCCGCGCATCTCGGGCAGCTTCGGTCGCCGTCGGCTCGCCACCTCGCTCTGTAGTCGGGGGTGAAGGCGCTGCTCGTGCGCAGCCTGTGGATCACCGCCGCTTCGCCTCGCCGCATGTTCCTCGGGGGCCTCGGGGGCAGGGGCCCGTGCTCGAGCTCGGGGTGGCGGGCTGCCACCACTCTTCTGACCAACAGGCGTGCATCGGAGAAGGCCGGGACCTCGGAGATCGGGTATGCAGGATCCTCCTGCGCTTCGGCGGCAAGGCGATCTGCTCTTTCATTACCTGCTATTCCACAGTGTGCAGGAACCCATTGGAAGGCCAGCGTCCATCCCCGGCGCTGCAACTCGATGGCTTTTTGGGCCACCACCTTGGCCAGTGCTGGGGCCCTGTCCAGGTTCTTCAGGAGTCCGAGAGCAGCCTTGGAGTCACAGAGTATCACCAGGCGGTCTGGCTGCCCCTCGGTGTCCACGATGGACAGTGCCAGGATCAGCGCCGCCAGCTCAGCTGTCGTGGAG